CAAAGCTTCCTTACTTCACCTTCCCCCCAGCGATTCTCTTCTCTCCACCCTGAATGTTTCCCCAGTGTTCTGTGTGACGCACACCACTGCACATTACACCAACATGCAACCCTGATGTCCAAGCTGGCCGGCTTAGTGTCCCCTTCAATTACTAACAAAGCTTTGATGTCCACTGTTAGTGAGCAGCAGCACATCCGGATCAGCAGGTGTGCTGGGCCAGCTGGACACATTTATCTCTTGGGATAGGATACATTCATCTCTTGTGGCTCAGTTGTTAGAGTCGGTGGTCTCTCAATCAGGAGGTTGTGGTTTTGATGCCCAACGCCACATGTCCAATGTGTCCTTGGGCAAGACACTTAACCCCAAGTTGCTCCTGCTGATTTGTCGGTGGAATGTAAATGTCTACTAATGGAGTTGTTAAGACCAATGGACATTTTATATAGAAGTGTGTGACCTGTGGTATAAAAGTGCTTTTAGTAGTCAGTAGACTAGGAAGTCATTACCTTTGATCATATTTCTTCTTCAAGATTCATGCCACAGGATTCCCTCCTTACTGCTCACCATTCTGCTATTTCCTACATCCTTTGAAGATACCTGCACTCTAGGCTACTTTAGGGAATCAAAGAGGATTGTGGTAAGTACAATTATAGCCACTGTGATACTTAGGGTTCGCAACCTAGTTTACATTGCTTTATCTGACACTCATTCAAGATTAAAGTTATTTTTAACCATGATTACTTTAACTGAGCAGTTGGTTGCACAACTATTTGGGGCTGATGCAGCCGCAGGATCATTCTGAACTCTGACCAGTAGGAGGTGCCAGCACAAAAGTGCTTCTGTCTGTATTGTTGTCTCTATGTGTCCATCAGTGTGCCCTGACCAAGTGACAGTCTCAAGTGTTGACAAATGAAGCCAATGCTTAAGTTTAACACAATGCAGTTTCTGAGAATGTGAGAATGTGCGGGCCATCCCGCAAACTCTTTCATTTGACAGTGCCAAACATTATAGTTCTGAAACTCGCCAGATGAGCCATAATCAATTTGCCACTCAATTTACTGAACTATTTTCATGAAGTGGGATAAATTAAAACACATTTTTCATAGTTTGAGCAACAAAAGCACATCTTAACAAACAGATGTCACATCTTAACCAGTGTACGTCCCAAAACAAAAATCGCTATTTCTGTGACATGGAGATGTTAACACACATCAGGGACTCTACAGCTGCCAAGTCTGCATATATCTTTCATTAAATTTACAATCAGTCTCTGTGATTCAAGCACAGCGTTAGTGAGGGCGCAACCTGAAAATAACACATATAATAAAATGTGTTTTCTTGCGTCCACCTCAGTAACAAGCACTTTCATTTCACAGTCAGTGAAGTACCTCTTCACTGACTGCCAGGTATGCCTGGAGCCAGGCCCGGCATCTCACCACGGTCCTCCCCGGAGTCAAACTTACTCCATACTACAAGCCATACTATAAAACTACAAACTTGCAAGACTTAACTGAAAATATTCCTTCTCTCTCCTATTATAAAAAAAAATCAGAGAGAGTATGAAAAATATTGATAGCGGATTTCAGTTTTATCCACTGATTCTCCAAACATCAGAAACTTTAAGAGCCTTAAATAGAGACGTGTATGGCTATGCACATTCAATTTAACCATGAATTAATTATTAAAATCTCACACATGGGAATGGGGCTGATCTTTTATTGACAAAACTTACCTCTCTAATACACGTTCTCATGAACAAAAGAGCTAGAATGATTATGATTCTCACATATAACTATTCTATGAGTGAAATTAATCATTCAAATCAATAAATTTTTTGATCCAGCAGATGTCGCACTTGAGCACCAGCATAAAACCAAAACAACTTGCGCTGCATTGTTGTGTTAGCATGCTAATGCTAGTGATCTTTATTATGCTTGTATCTTCACACTGCATGTAAATTTACACGAAACTACCGTGATCTAAAAACGGTTAGGTGACATTCAATTAAGCAGTGAGTACAGTATGTTGTTCTTCTTTTCTCTAGTCCCTCAATTAAACAACTTTTATACGCAAGGTAATGAGCCTGTGTGCCGTCCTGCCGATGTAAACAAAGTGTAGCTTTAGCTCGGAAAGCTCGGAAAGCATCACAGACAGTGGGACTTGGGTGTCACACTCATTGTAGACAGTCGTGACTCACAGAGTTATTTTCAGAGGATATATTTGATTTCTGCTACATTTGAGTGTGAAAAATCAAATATTCTGCCTTTAATGTGCTGCAGTGTTATGCTTCGGCACAAAGCTTAATGATCCAAAAGCAGACTCCGGACACAAAGGAACAACAGTAATTACAGTGAAGACATTTTGCAAGAAGGGACTAGGAGGAGTGAGTCTAGGGATCCCAGGTGCTGAGTGTTGGGGTGAAGGAGCACAGTGAGGGTCCAGGGGAACAAATGGTATTTATAGATGAAGCATCGGACATACTGCTGCAGGAGCTAGGGATTGAACCCTTGACCTTCCAGTTGAGAGATGATGACTCTACCAACTGAGCCACAGCCACCCACAGTTGATATTGGAGGCAGTGACACAGAGGTTAGCATTCAGGATATAGTCGGCCCACAAAACATCACATCCGGTTCACGCTGAGGGGGAAAACAAATTACCAAATCGAGGCACAGAGCCAAATAGGAGAACACTGTGGCTTTAAGTCATCCGGCGGGAGGACGAGTTTGGTTGAAGAAGACTGATTTGAGCACTAGGAGGGGAACACATTTTGTTTCATTGATTGCAGTTGATGTTGCTTTGTTAAATAAAGTCATAACTTAATTTAAGTTATGTCATTTAAAGAGCAGTTGTCTGTGATTACTGATGTATGTGTATTGTGGTATTCAAGACTGATTTTGTCTTTAAAACCCCAACACGAATATACAGTCTAGCTACAAAAAATAAAGCTATGGCAACATATCACTGATGGTAGCTTCCGTGCTCCCTCCAGTTAAAATATCTGTCTATTATTCTATCTTACCCTAGGCTTAAAAAATGGAACGCAGGAAGAAACGTGATCGCCTGAATTTCCATTCTCTGTCTGAAGCACTCTGTCCCACTACCATAGCCCAACTAGAAGCCCCAGCACCAGAAGCCGCAATTCCAGAAACCCCTACCCCCTTAAGCCTTCAGGTTTTAGAGAGACAACAATTAAATGAGGAGATAAACAATTTAAGGAGAGAGAGGGATAAGGCCAGGAAGGAGCGGGATAAAGCTGTCAACCAATTGGAAAATTTAACATTTTCAGCAATCAGTGTGAGACAATGACACTGTGTAAACTTATGACAGGCCTATTAGTGTTCGACACCCTTCACCAGTACCTGGTACAGTTTCTCAAGTCAAAGGAAGCATCAAAGCTGTCGACACAAGATCAGCCACCAGCGTTACTTTGGTGAAATTGCTGCAGAATCCATCAGCTGATTTGATGTGTGGAATATTGGACTTGCCACAGAGCCACTTTCCTTAATATATTCTCCCAATGGCTGGATCTAATGCATTCAGAAATACAATTTTTGGTTGCCTGGCCTGACAGAGAGTGTATCAGGAACACAGTACCGGACAAAGTTCTTTTACAGTACCCCAGACCGACTTCAATTGTCGACTGTTTTGAGATTTGAATCGAACACTAAAAGAAGCTGAAAACTAGGTGAGTTACTTTTCCTTTTCAGAGCAATGCATCCATTTTTGGGTATTACTGACCTGGTTAATTATTTCTTTCTATGAGAAAAGGTCAATGTACATAATTTGCATATCAGTACTATTAAAAATGTGTCTTTTCTTACAGAGCAGTCACCTACTCAAGGTATAAAAACTGGACCAAAGTGAAGTACTTTGTTGCATGCCACCCATCTGGTGCAATAACATATCTCTCCAAAGGCTTGGGTAGGGAGATCAATGTGATTATCAATATCAGTGTGATTGTTGTTCACCTGTAGTACCAATGTTTAAGTTTTCCAGTGACAATACTGTAACAGTATATTTGTTATGATGTTTATTTTAGGTTCCTGCTGACAGAGGCTTCACTTTAAAGGAGGATTTCGCTGTTCTGGGTGTCACTCCATCTTTCACACGAGGACGAAAACAGCTGTCAGCAGAAGATGTGGCAAATTCTCGTGTGACTTCAAATATCCAAATTCATATTGGTCAGTATTCAGTTAGCAGTCAGTCCTCATTTATATGAATGCTTGAATTCTTAAAAGATCCTGAGGGTTATGGGACAAAGAAGTCAAGCGGTAGACCCAAAAAAATTTCACCTGCCAGAGAATGTGACAGGATGTCTGTCGAAACACAATTAATTAATTAATTAATTTGCTTTTATGGGTTTTAATGAAACATGGTGTAAAGCCCTATTCACACGGGACTAGTATTACCTGGGGACCTCATTTGATTAAGAAATTACCCCACCACGTCTGAGTTTTGTGCGGCGCATTCGCACGGGATAAGCGAAGTCTGTGTTTTAACTCGAATTTACTGACTTTATCCCCTAGATATGATGTCAAGTGTTAACCTTTCCTGCTTCAGCGGTCGGAGCTAATCATTTTTGCTGCATCATTAAGAAAAGTGAGACAGAGGGGGACAGAGAAAATACAAAACATGGCGATGAAAGGTCTGACCGAAGGGAAGAGTGTGGAGAAAATAAGTGAAAAAAGTTTTTGTAAGGTTGACACAATAGGAAATTTGCGCTCTTCATTACATGACCGAGCAGCTAGCCTGGATTCAGGTTGGTGGTTCCTGTTTGCTCTGTCACAGAGAGAGAGGAGGGGAAGAAAAAACAAGGCTGTGTGATAAAAAAAAAAAAAGAATCAGGTGACAGTGTTGCTTCAGGGCATGTACATATTTCTTTATTAGGATTCAGTGTTGTTGAAAGTTTGGAGTACTTATAATAGAAGGAGAGGAGTGAAGAGGAGAGGAAGACTCAAACACCAAAAAAGGTCTTGAGTCAGAGCTAGAGAAACTGCAGGCTTAACAGATGCTTCACAACAGTGTGGAGAGAAAGGCTAGGCAGAGACAGATCCACACACAGGCAGAACGAGGAGGGAACTAACAAAGATGAACAACAGAGAGAAAGGTAAAGAGGAACAAGAAGAGGAACAAACTGAAAAACAGAACTCCTGTTCTGAGAACAATAATTTGGGTTAGACAGAAAAGGCAGGTCATCCAAAAAAAAAAAAAAAAAGTTCCAGGAACGAGTGTGTCAGCTGTTACTGTAAATGTGATCCTCAACAGACCAACCAGAAAAACTGAAAACCCTGAGGGGGAAGAAGATCAAGGTGCTCTCTCAAATCAAACAAACACTGGTACTATAAGATCTCTCGACCTTCAGCAGTCATGTCAACTAGCCCTAGCCTTGGAGCACCTGACTTGGCCCAGGGCACCCAGACTTTGGGACCCGTTGGTCTCCAGACACTGTTGGACCTACTGGTTGGTGTCTACCAGGAGTTCTACTCCTCACCCTTCACAAGGGAGAAGTATGTCTCCCGCTTCCTGCAATGGGGTGAGTGTATCCATCATGTTTCTAGTTGGTGCTACTTCTTTTTTTTTTAAAGATTTATTTTTGGGCTTTTTGTGCCTTTAAGGGAGAGAAAGGACAGAGAATAGAGTTGGATATCAGGTAGAGAGAGAGTGGGGAATAACATGCGGGAAAGCAGCTACAGGCTGGAGTTGATCTGCCCGTTTGGAAGACTACAGCCTCCATACAGGGGGCGTGTGCACTAACCACTGCGCCACCAGCGACCAAGTTGCTGCTACTTCTGCTTGACTTAACACATAAAGCCAGTTACACTTGAATCATTTTTTAAAATATTGACAAATTGACACCAAGACAGGTCATATTGCTGGTCAAACATTTTTAGAATAGGATAGAACAGAACAGAATATCTTTATTTGTCATTGTACAAGTACAACGAAATTCGGTCAGTTCAAAGAAACCTTTGTAAAGTGCTAGAAATAAAATACAAATATGAGATTCTAAAAACATATCACACATTCATCCACATTCATTCACATTCTTTCACATTCTGCTGGGGTACACATACAAATTACATTAGATTACACAATCATTGTTTTGCAGTGTTAAGTGCAGTTACCGCCCTCGGGTAGAAACTGTTTTTCGGTCTGTTTGTCCGTGTTTTTATTGTCCTGAAACGCCAGCCTGAGGCAGCAGTTAAGCAGAGAGTGTTCGGGGTGAGATGGAGTGCTTTGCGCTGAGTAAAAGCGCTGCAAGTACATGTTTTCTCTATGACAACAGTCTCTTGAAAACGGCCGCTGTATTCCCGACACTGCTCTGTTTTTTTAATGTATGTTTTATATTTGAGTTTTTTTTCTCTCTTCAGTATGAGCATCAAAACACAGGATGCTTGCCCTCCTTTGTCTGGACACGGAGCAAGGAGGATGTGGGTACAGGGCATGATCCGTAGAAAACAAAAAATACAGGGAATATCATACATTTTGAAAAGAGTGCCAGTGAGGTCAACAGCACCTTTCTAAGGGCATGTATCCACAGACAACAAATATTGTGCTGGCAGCGTTTTCAATATGAAACCATTGTAGTTCAGTGTTGTTAGCCCTCAGCGTCAACAGTTTTTTTGTTGTTTCACTCAGTGCTCTCAGGCCCGCCACATTTATCAACACTGTGATCAGCCAGATACGCACGTTTCATAGGACCCACGTGGACCCTGTGGTAGGATGATGTATACACCCAAATCTGTGCTGTTTTCTACACCAGATAGATAAGTGAGGGCCACAGTGTCCAGACAGAAAGTCAAAATTCTGACTTGTCAGACCTAAGGACAATTTTCCACTTGACCTCAGTCCAATAGCCTTGACCTGGAGTAGTTGGAGTTGCCTCTGGATCTAGTCTGGGTCTTTTCTTTGAATGGTTGAGTTTCATCTAACATTTTTGATTTCAGAGACAAATGTTCCTGCATACAGAGATTCCTCAGATTCTCTGAGTCTTTTAAATACATTGGATACTGTCGACCAGTGGTTCCCAAAATGGGTCGAGCCACCAAGAGAGGTGTTAAATTTAAACTAAAACCATTTAATTCAGACAACTCAAGTTTTTATCATTTAAAATATTCATTGCAGCAGAACATAGTTTGTGTTTGGCGTCTACAGTTGGATGCTGGGGTGGTGGTATGGCTGCATTGGAGTACAGTACTGGTGCAGGTCAGAGCTGGCATTGAAAGAGCAGAGGGAGAGACCTGAAATCTTGCAGCTTAAATAGACCACTTATTGGAGGGTGTTACCAGGTGATTGTTGAGAATGAGGCATGTCTTCTGCCTGCCTCAGAGCAGCTCAAGATGACTGCCTGAACTAGCTTGCAGACGTTGCCTCATATCATTAAATGAAAATGAAAATGAAGTTAATTTGCAAAAATACTTAAAATGTAAGTTTGCACATGGCAATGTTGGGGTCTGCTGGGCTTTACACATAATGATGCACTAACCTGTGTCTATTAAATTTGTGTCTCCACTCAGTGTCAACATATGGAGAGTACTTATATTCTGCTTCTAGCCTTTCTTACAATAAATTATTTAATACAATTTGTTTTTTATTTAGGCTTTTGTGTTCTTTTGTGTTGTTCTTTTGTTACCAGTGTTTTGCCTTTTAGCGCTTGTGTTTGCTGGTGCAATATGTTACACTTTAACCACCTCCAAGGACAGTGGGGTCTCCAGTCTGTGGCTACTTATTTTGTGGATCATGAACTGAAGACTTTGGGAACCACTGCTGTAGACGATGACATTGCCCGAATCTTTGCAACTTTATGTTAAAAACATTATTGTTGTTGTTATAACTCTTGTCTTTAAATATGTAACAAGGATCAGGGAATTGTAAGACACTGGAATAAATGTTTTCTATTCATCAGTCTGTTTTTCTGGAAAAAACTGTGATGTAGCACAGGTCACATGGCCCAGTCTACTGACCCAGGGCTGACAAATCCTTTTATGTCAGGAGACCTTTAGCTCCTAGGCAAACGTTTGTGTGTGTGCCTGATTGTTCACTCTCTTCACAGTATCTAAAATAGTTCAGGCTGTGCTTGTGTCTGTCTTGCATTCCTCCATGTGTGAGAAGGTGGGGGGGGGGGTTTGAAATCCTTCCTCCATGAATGATAGCTGCTATTTTTAGCTGCACAGAGTAACTCACATCCAGACAGTCACTCAGTTGAGGAGAACCTCCCGTTATGGAAAAAAAAGGCTGGAAGTATAACCAGGGCATCAACACTCTGTGCAGAGTTTGAAGGAGGTCCTGCTCCTGGAGCCAAAATTAAATGAACACATCTTAAATGCATAACAGTTGCCAACCAATTAGCAAGTGCTGTAGTTAACATTGTGGAGTTAAATATGCCATTTAAAAGAGAAGCAGTCTTATTATTTTCCATCACTGTGGTAGCAGGGAGAAAAAGATGCTGTGTTGGCTTTATTATGGTGTGCATAAATGGACATAAAAGCATGCAATAAGAACAATTTAACTTGTCCATTAAGATTAACTAACTCAAAACCCTAATAAATAGTAAAGTAAGTTAGGTGTCCGTTGTCTTTTTAACAAATATTACACAGTGAGATGATATGTTGTGGCTCTATAGAGCTGTGATGCTACATAAATCATTTGAGAAATTGTTAAAGCAGAAGTTAAAGTAGCAGAGGTGTAAAAACACACCAGCATAGGATGATCAGTACCTATAATGGTGCAGCTACTATATACACTATAGACAGTATGCATAGTGAAAATAATGTCATCAATAGAATCAACATCAATTGAATCTTTCATGTGTGTGTGTGTGTGTGTGTGTGCGTGTGTGTGCGTGTGTGCGTGTGTGCGTGCGTGTGTGCGTGCGTGTGTGCGTGTGTGTGTGTGTGTGTGTGTGTGTGTGTGTGTGTGTGTGTGTGTGCATGTGTGTGTGTGTGTGTGTGTGTGTGTCAGCAAACAGCAGACTGCTCCTTGGCTGCACAGCAAAGCTTCTGTCTGGGAGCGAGAGGGGTCCATTTAAATTAATTTATGTGTCATCTTGCATCCCTCACTCGCTTTGGTACTGATGGGACGCTGCATTGCAGATTCACATATCAAACCCCTCTGTATTAACATTCAGGTAAGCCCCCATTTAAAAAATATTACAAAACCCCTTAGTTTATCTTCATAAATGGATGGATATCTATGGCAAAGATTGTCTTATACAAGAAACCCTTGTTTATTGAATCATGTAAGCTAAATGATTTAACATAGCTGATCATTCCTTCCTTTTAAATTTCCACATTAAAGATCTGCGTTATTTATTACTGAGGCTTTTTATTTAATTTTCATTCTTGTGATCTGCACAGTAATCCATCACTGAGCTCTTATATTGATTTAATTATATATTTGAATACCATAAACAAACTGCTGCTTTACGTGATGCCACAAGACTTTGACTGTTTTATTATCCTGTATGAAGTTGTAACGTGTGAATATATTTCACCATCACTGCATGTTAAACTGTTGTATTTTCTGCATATTAGCAATGTGAGAATAAACTGAAAAAAAAAACAATGGTGTGGAGGTATGTCATTCCACACTGATCATGTTGTACGTACACGAACGAGCATCATCATAGACCGCGAAACACTGGATAATTACCGGCATAATGTTTACAGAGGTAAGTGGACATACACATGTGAAAGTTTAGTTTGAAATGCTTTATATTTGAGACTACTAAACCATATTTGACTCTTGAGTGCTGACACAATATGAAAAAGAAACGTTGATAGGCAGCAGATGAGGAAAAGACGATATTTTCACTACTGTTTTATTTAGTTTATAAAGCCTATTAACCTTTCGACCGAGCACCGCATTGGACAACAATAACACCATTATCAACTGGAATGAACAAAATTATGTAATCTGGGTCTATGTCACTAACCGCATGGAGTCTCTTTGTGAGATTTTAAGCTACATGCCAGATGTCCAAGGAATGAACAATGCCATGGTGCTTGTGCCTCCCTTTCTCTGGATCTGCAATGAAGAAAAACACAAACAATCACAAAACACCAAATTCTCCTGATTTTCTATGGTCTGGACAACTTTGTTATAACTACATTACAATATATAAACAATGTACATGCATTGTTTGTATAATTTTAACTTTTAAAAGCTGTGCATACAGACATTGTAGATGTTAGCAACACAAAAAAATCCTCCAAAATATATACTCACGCATTAGGGCTGCATCAGTCACAATCTCCTTGATTTGGATCTCTTCAATTAGCTTGTCGAACGTCCTAATGAATGTAAATTTTTCCATGGCATCGCTCTTCCTGTCAGTCTCTCTCTTGTCTACAGTCACAACACTGATGATGTCCATGGTGTCTAGCTCCATGGTTGTATAGGTACAGAATTGGGCACAGTGACCTGCAGAAAGAAATCAGAATTATATGAATTATTGATGCTCAACCAAGCATGCTGAAACAATAATACAACATGCAACTACTACGTAACTACGTACAAGAAGGTAAGATTTAA